TCCGTTGTCCGCTGTCCGTTTAGCGGAGTTGCAAAGGCCCACAGAGTCATCAAGTCGCAACCACATCATTAATAAGCCTCTGAGATGGAGGGTTAAGGGAAGGTGCTATACAAACAGAAAGGGTAGATCTAAGGAACCTATGGTCCTAATGGCTAACACGTCCTGGCTAATGAGGCGAAACCAAGAAAATTTAAAAGTTACAGGAACTATATGGTTGGGGAAGAAGGCGACTGTAAGCCTGATTAATTTGTGGGAATACTTGAATTCTCAATGGGGCTTCTTGGTTTGTTTGTTTTACCCTTCCAAATAGTTTTATAATTGTGGGTAAAAGTCTTTAATGTCAAAAAACAACAACCAACGGATTGGTTCAAAAAGTTGGAACTTGTTTTCTTTTTTTTTTAAATACTTGGTTTCTATTTGGATAAAGCTACTCCATCAAATAATCAAATAATGTTGAACAACTCTCGGATGTCAGTCTATTGACCAATAGTTTTTGAGTTTTGAAGATTTATATATTGTGAAGCAATATGCATTCTCAACCATATACAACTCAGGCTAGCCTGATTGTGACACCTTCTTGAATAAATATATATGGTATATTTAACAGAAAGTTTTTGATTTGCGTTTCACAGCACCTGCCCAGAAAAACCTATGCTCTGCTCTTCTGAACTCCAGATGCAGTTTTCCAAGCAGAAAGAGAAAACTTCAAAGGAGGCAGCCTTTGTTCAGAGTTCATTTTCCGAGCACACTCAACGTAATCGCCGCCCAGATGATTTCCCGTCGTTGTTCAGAGACAGAAACACTTGTCGACTGAGATTCTCAACTCGGAGGAAGGCAGAGATACAGAGAGAAGTCACAATTGAATTGCACTCGAGGGACTGGTACCGAAAATAGAAAAGTAATAACAAGGAACTTATGCTAATAGCGCGTACCAAAAGAGCCAAAAGAAAACAAACAACCGACAACAACAGGCGGCAGACAATTCATAAAAAAAATTGTACTTGTGGAAAACCAAGGAAAAGCGGGGAGGGAAAGGAAAGAGGCCACGACCTCAGGGTGCAATAAAAATTAGAGTGCGCAGGCGCAGCCGTAACAGAATATGTAGGAAAATATGTTTATTAAACGTTGCGAGGGGAGCCGCGGAAGCTGGAGGAGATGGGGAACCTTTTAGGCACCATCATCAGTCACTGAGTGTGAGGCAGCCAAAAAGTGGCAATAGATCTTTCTCCTGCGGTTTTGGGGGCGGACTTCATAAATCATCTTCTAATTGACTAGGTATTTTAGTGGTATTCCTGGAGAAGAACTTAAAGACTTTGCTAAAGATGATCTATTATGAAGGAGGAACAGTGGCTGATAAGGGCACGTAAGCATTAGTTGACATAGGTTACATTACTTGAAAATTTAATGATGAGTAGGGTGTGGAAAGTATTTTTAATGTACTTTAAAATATCAAATAAATAAGACGGAGAAGTGATGCTAATAAAAATCATAGTTTGATGTAGCTAATAAAACAAGAAATGGAATTGTTATTTTTGTATGATAATGTTTAACAAAGTTCATTATTCTTTGGCAACAAATTCAAATATAGTTTTATTTTTGAAATGATAAATTTTCATAGCAAACAGCTCCTCGAAATGGTATAATTAGTCTATCTTAATGTACTTAAAAATATCAAACAAATAAGGCTTCAAAGGGATGCTAATAAGAATCATAGTTAAATGTAGCTAATAAAAAAGGAACTGGGATTGAATATTAACCTTGTTATTGTTGTATGATTATGCTTAGCAAAGTTTATTATCCGTTGGCAACAAATGCCCATATAGTTTTATTTTTGAAATGAAAAATTTCCAAAGCAAACAGCTTCTCAAAATGGAATAATTAGTCTATCTTCGATTGGCGAGATCGTTGCCCAGATGACCTCTAACCCAATTCCGGTTGCCAAGTGGAAAGTTTTCACCCAGTGCAACGCCTCCCATTCCACTTGATTTCCCTCAAATATCTCTTCGGGCGGTGCATAAACAAATTCCGGATTCGAGCAGCTGCGAATGATGATGCAGGGGATTTTCTTCTAAATCATCTTCCCCAGCTTTGGTATTTTTTCCCCCCGAGGTCTCCCTTTTAAACCCCTGACCATCCACTTTATGGATGAGCTCTGTAGGGAGCTGCGGCAATTTATTACCTGCCATTTACCGTTCCTCATTATTAATTGCAAGGCAATTAATCAGTTTTACTTGCGTTCAACGAGGCGTATACGCAACCCTCTCTCTCTCTTTGGGCAACGAAAATTTGAATGAATTGAAATGCAAATTGTTGAAGTAAATAAACATTCCCGTGGAAATCGGGGATGACTTTAAGACATAGAAAGCAACGCAGTGTGAAATCGGAAATTCGTGTCTCCTTCACGTGTCCGCTCTGATTTTCCTTCCGATTTTGGCTTCATGTTTGTCCGCAGGACGTGGCAATAAAATGCATCGGCAGTTTCCCTCTGTTCCTGTTTCCCTTTCCCTTGTATTACGATATATTTCTATTCGATTTTCAAGTTTCAGCTGCATAAGTACAGCCTCCCACCCCCTGGAAAACCCCCCACCCACCAAGGCCGCTGTCCCTTACTCAATAAAACTTTTTGATTTCCGCTCGAATAGACGAAACTTTTTAATGCGGATGTTCTGCCAGCAGCAGAAAAGCAGAAAAGAGCGAAATAAAAAGCGAAAAGTAAAAAACGAAAACGAAAACGAAATCAAATCAAACCAAATTGAATCGAATCCAAGGCAAAACAAAAGGCATTGAGTGGATGAGGGAGGGGGGGGTTGTAAAAAACAGAAATTTAAATGTAGAATCAGAATCAATACCCAGAAGACTAAACACCTGCCAAATCGCCCTCAGTTCCATTTTAATTCAATTGGATTACTTTCCATCGCAGCACTCGCATGCTGAAGGGGGTAGTGTTTTTTCAAAGGGGGTTTTCCATCGCTGGAGGTAGGAAAATCGCAACACCAGGGACAGTTTCCACCATTGAGTGGCTAAATTCTCCATTTCAGACCATCGCATCGCGTGGGGCTTCTTTATCGTTTTTGCAAATTCGCGATTAATGCACTCTCGGCTGCGAAAGGCCCCATCATGCAGCCCAACACCTCTGGCGTTCTTTATTGCCATTTCCAATCACCCAAATGGCACAAGAATTCAAAACAATGGGAAATAAAATTAAATAAAACCAAACAAAGTATAAATGAATGAAAAGAACTGTGAATGGGAGACGCGTAGTTGAATGAGCCGTAAGAAAGTGACTAATGTGAAAAACATGTATGAGCACAAGGCAAATACAATTTCCATTCCATTTAATTATATGAATTAAGGGGTTTGTTTGGTTTAAAACAATGGTGGTTTAGGCTTGTAAATAAGAGTTAAATTATAACATTTTAGGTAGCTTACAAAAACATTTTAAAGGTGCAGTAATTTCCTAAAATTAAATTTAAGCCAGTAAAGTTTGTTTTATAACCCCACCACATGTACAAAATTGTATCTGGACACTACTCATGCTGCTCGAAGTAACTATACCATAACAAAGCCTTCGATTAACCCCAGTTTGGAGGAGAATAAGCCTCGAAAGCGAGCCATTAACAACCTCAACTGCACTTAAGCTCGGAACACGAGACGCCAACCGAGAGGGGGAGCATCCAGCATCTCGACATCGCAGCATGTTAGCATCTCCACATCTCAGCCCGGGAATAATGGAAGACCTGGCACCGCTCGTGCCAACTCCACGAGAGGTTTCCTGGCCAGGAGGAGGAGGCGGGGCACCAGATGAAACCGAAACCCAAGCCGAAAACGGAGACAAAGCCAAACAGCGGCGAAAGGAAGGGCACAATCACCGGAAGAAACGCGGAGGAGATGCCGGGGTTGCAGCTGGAATCTGATAGGAACATCATCTCGAGCATATCCGGCAAGTGCAAGTGCGTGGAGGTGGATTCCGCAGGGAGAGGGAGGGGGAGGGGGAGGGAGATTATGATGATGATGGGGCAGGGCGGGTGAAAGCGAGTGTTGACGCTTCCAGCTGCGGGGTTAATAAGCGATATAAGCGACACGATAACGAGTTGTGGAGTACACGAAGTGCTCTTCTTTTCATTCCCCTCGTGCAACTCCACTTCTGATACAAGTCCCTCAATGGGGATTAAGCTGATGTCGGGGTTACACTGTGGAAAATTTGTACAGCTGACATTGCTACACATATGCTATAAAACCAATTTTAATAAAAATTGCATTCATTCAATTCAATTCATTTAGGATTCTTAAGTTCTTCAAATGTATGAATGTATAAATTATTTAGAAAAATGAACAATATTTACGTCATACAACATGGTTTTGAACTATAACCTTTGACCTTAAAGAAGAATCTTATATCTATTAAGAATTGGAGACGATTTGAAAGTAGTAACATTATATTACGTATTTAAGCATGAGCCATAGTTAAAGATGAATTTATTTAAAACCAAAGGTTCAACTCTGCTTAAATAATTCCAAGTGCACTTCTCAACCTCTTTTCACCCCCTGTCCCCCATTCAAGCTGCCTTTGTATTCGCCTGCTAATGGATGTGACAAGGCATGTCCTGGCTAATCCTGCGACGTTCCTGATTAAGTGCAACTTTGACGTGGAACGGTTTAATTGCTGGAACACCCAGGCAGCTGCCCCCTGCCCCCTGCCCCTTGTACTCCATTAATGAGCTATAGATTGGGCATTCATCCCTCGCTTTTCCTTGCGGGGAAATCCTTTGACTCGGCCAGACTCCTGGGCAGGCATTGCGATTCGATCTCCGGCTCCGATCCATGTGCAAATTCGATCATTTCAATCTGCTTTCCATGTCCTTTGGCTTAGCATCTGCCGTCGCCGGCAGCACGCGCATCCTTTTTGTAAACACTAGGACAAAGGACTCTCGCTCTGAGCACACACACATGTCGTCCCGACAGGAAGCGCACTGATTGAGGGGCAAATCTCTGGCCCTCACCCTCCGTTTCTCGCTCGAATCCTTGGTCTGGGGACAGATGTTCTTATTGAGGACGAGGACGAGGACTGGAACGCGTGTCCCGCCAGCAAATCGGAAGTGCATCCCCCAGCCCTCGCTCCATTATTCCCGATCCTGCTCCTCTTTGATCTCCAGAGGCATTTAACCTACGAAATAGTTTTGGTTTTCGGTACCACAAGATTTATTATTATTATTCTTCGTTCTTCATTCCATTGAATCCGATTGTTTTGCATCCCAATTATGGGACAGAGGTTTTGACCCCTGACAAGTGGGTTTAAAGAGGGTTGCTGAGGAATGTGGGGTTGGGGGCTAAGAAATATTCCTTTGTGTAGTTAGAAAATTAAACAGGACTAAAACAAAGACAAATACGGAAAATACAATAATTATCTTATATGTATATTGTATTGTATTCCATATTTGATTTACATAATCTAATATCAACTCTAAAGAATCAAACTTTAATTTTCAAAATTAAAAGATCATTTTAAGGCTGAATTTGATTTAAATAGTTTTGGGATCCAATAGACTAAATTTGACAGTTTAAAATATTTTACTACCCCTTTTGGAATGTTCATTTATGGGGTGCTTATAAATTAAAGGAAATGTATCTGCAAATTACGATTGCTTAAACCCAAAAAAAGAGTATCTCATTATAGCTACCCAATGAATCCTTGTAACCTTGTGCTCGCTGGTCAAAGTGAATCCGTTTTCATTTGCTCACTGACCTGTTAGGATGCTGATAAGTTCTTGGCCAGGATCGTGCCCCTGCTCCTTCGTCGACCAAAACCCATATCAAGTAATTAGATTTTAGAGCCAACTCGTGCACTTTCTCTGCGTGTTTGCATCGTGGCCAGGTAAACAGGTTTTTTCGTTGCCCAGGCAGGTGAAAGGGGGTGTTCTCCCATTTTCTAATTAGTGCATTGCAAAATATGAGCCTGACCACCATCAGATACTGCTGCTGCCTCATACTGGCCTCATAAATTCCCCGACCAGGCAGTGAGGCAGCCGGAGGTTCAATTAAATTTCGACTTGCGAATCAATAAACCAGCAACATTTTCAACACAATTCATTTAGCGGTCGAGGGATGGGTTTGGCCAGGAGAAGGAGAAGGTGCAGGGCAGGACAGGAGGAGGGCAGGAGGAGGGCAGGAGCAGGAGCAGGAGCAGGATCAGGAGCAGATGTGTGCACCTGGAGGAAATCAAAGTGCTGAGGAGCAGCGAGGGGCAGAGAGGGAAAGCGCGTGTGCAACTCGACACCGGAACAAGTGGCAGTCAGAGGGATGGGGATGAGCTGAACTGAGCTGGAGGAGTAGGGAAGTGGAAGGCAGACAGCACTACAGTCTTACCTCAAAGTTAAACTAGGGCAAAGGCATAGTATAGATTCTTCTAAAACTTTTGGCTGCAACTTCCTTAGGTCTTCTTTATGGTATACAAACTCGCAATGTTTTTCTTTAGTTATTAGGTATCTATATCAGATTTAAATTATATACATATATAATTTCTTTCATTAAGAATTTTTTTCTTAGCTAAGACATTAAACAGATTTAGCAGAGACTTTATTAATAATTATTGCAAATCTGGACTTAACATTTTATGGACCCTGATATTCAGCGCTATTATCCCACAAATTTAAATATATATGGAGATTATTAAAATTAGTTTTTTATTAGAAGGAATTAGAAGCCTGGGGTTCTTCTTAGTCTTTGTCCTCTGTACGTGGTTAAAAGAACGCTGTTTACTTAATGCGCAGTGAGGAAAACATTTGGCAGCAGTCAGTTTGCTGGGGTCAAGAGAAAGGAGCCAGGAGAAAGGAGAAAAGAACCAAGAGAAAGGAGCCAGGAGAAAGGAGCCAGGATAAAGAAGCCAGGAGAAAGGAATTATAAGCCAGGAGGCACGCGCAACAACAGGAACCAGAAACCATGAACGAGGTACGAGGAACATGGTAAAGGGAACCACACGGACAATGAGCTCGACATCCTGTGGTGGACGAGGGTATTGGCAAATCGGCGCACTGTATTAATTGGTTCAGTGATTTTTTTATAAACAACTGGCAGCGTTTCAGCGTTGAAAATAAGAAAACTGGAATCGGAATTACAGGAACCAGGAACCTGTCGACCGCAGGCACAGGATAATCGAAGTGTTGCAGTTCCGTGGAGAAAGGAGAAGGGAGAAAGAGGAGAGGGGAAAGGGGAAAGGGGAGAGGGAATGTGGAACAGGATTGCAGCCTGTCACATGTTTGTAGCAAAGATGCAGCCGTGCTGATAAAGAGAAAAGCCAAAGATGCACCACAAGATATAAAGGCACTGGAAAAAATTACTTTTAAAATTAAAATTTAAAAATCAACTCAATAAATTTTCTTGGTATCAATTTTCAACCGACTAAGTATAGACTTTAAAGCAAGTCAAAAATAGTTTTAACCATTGCAAACTTTTTTAAAGTTTGCATATTTAGATAAATATTCCAAAGACCATCAATATGTCTTAAAACAAACTATTATTATTTAATATTTGCTTTTAATAAAAACTTTAAATAATATTTCAAACCGCCAAAAGTCATTAATAAATCCTACACAACTTGTTGATATTTCTTTTTTACCCGTAGCTATCTGTTAACTTAATAATGTATACCTATTATTGTTTTCAAACCCATCTTTTGCCTCAGTGCAGTTATCCTTGGCCCAAACAAGTATCAGCTGCGGTGGAAAGCCGAGAAAGAAGCCGGGCTAACGAGCGGAAAACACGATATTACAAGCCATGCCCATAACTCGTGGCCCAGAAGCAAGGACCTCGAACTCCAGGCTCAGAAGCAGGACCTCTGGCACGCTCCTCATCCTGGCAGATGAAATGGGTAGAGGAGAGGACAGGCGGGGAGTCGGCGACAAATCTCATTAAAACTGAATCGAAATGGTAATTCGAGTTGTTCACAAACAGATCCCGATGCAACTGCGATTCCGTTTGCGATTGAGTTGATAGCGCCGGGACCCATGTGTGTTTGTGTGCTCCTTATCCGCATCCTTGCATCCCTGTATCCTTATCCTTCGACCCAGCCGAAGACTTTGTTTGCCAAGAAGTCTGGGTCGGGGTTTTCCACACGGGGCGGGGCACAAGGGGCACAAGGGGCAAGGTGTGATTTGGCTGCTGCCATTGTCTGCAGGATGTGCTGCCTGTGTTTGCCGCTCGGTTTTCAATGCGGGCAGGTGGTTCTGAGCGGTTCCGAATGGTTCTGCATGTGCCAGCGATCCGTGGGGAGGAGGGGGGGTCGATATGCCAGGGGTGCGGGGATGGGAGTTCCAATGGACCGGAGTCCCCGGTCTACTTCAGCCTAATTGCAATCGAAGTGCTTGGCTGCTGTATCATTGAGAGTTGTAGGACCTTTAAGGATGTTTATAGTTTCAGTTTAAAATACTTAATACTCTGTGGGGAAATTGTATTCATATCTTTAAGAATTTTTTAGTGGCTACAATTATAAGTTAGAAATTAAATCTGAATAATTTTTATTTTATTTTCAGAATGTAACAAAAGGAACCTGCAGTGTCATAGTTCGAATTAGTTATATTTTCAAGGACTGTGCGTGGATTGACTTAATTGCATATATCTAAAGAAGTTAAATATCTGACTATAATTCTTAGCAAACAGCGAATAAGAGTTTTTCTTAAATACAAATAAAAAAATTAAATAAAATAATCAGCTTCAAATAATTAGTAGTTATACTTCTTAACTTTCGATTGCTTATTTCTAGTCCTAAAATTACCTGCATCTAAAGAGTATAAACCAAAAATATTCTTGTAATAAACAAACACATCTAAGTAGCAATGCAAATATAATTGACTTCCAATATGAGAATCAAACATTGCCCACAGGCCATTACAAAATTAGAAATTTCCCAGCATTTCCCAATTTCATCACGCACTTTGTGGTGCTGTCATCTTGATTTGATTTTGGTCAGGCATCATGTATTCCATGTATTTCAATTAACATACTGACAATGCAGCCAGTTTAGTCCCTCAGCCACACAAAAATTGTGACATGCGGATTAGGAGTGATTATGAAAAATTACATTTCAATTAGGGGCAAAGTGAATGTATTCAAAAATCGAAAACCCGCATGAAGGATTGAGGGGTTGAGGCAGTGATTGCGTGATTGATGGATGGACACTGGCGGGAATTAAATTAAATGCAGCGCGAGTGTCACTTTTAATTAGCCCCGAAAACCGGGACCCCAATCCTCGAACCGAGATTAGTCCATGAACACCACCGAAAATTATGCAAGAACTGAGCAGCATTTCCACTCTGCTACTCCCTTTCACAACTTTTCGCGATTGTTTTCCATTAAGCTGAATAATTAGCATTCCTCTTCGCAAAGGTAAAGGTGTGCGCGTAGCTACGGACAAGTTTCCTTCTTTCCTTCTCAGCTTTTTATCGCAGCTCCGAAATTGATTTTGACACCTGAAAACTGCACAAACTTCTGGGCGAAAAACTTTCTGCCAAAGAAAGTTTTTTTGTGTGCACCAAAATGGATGAGGCGCCTAACAAAAACAGAATTAAACATAAAGAGCAGGTGATTCGAGGGTGGTAAATGCGTAGATAGCAGATAAAATCGCAGTGAGTTCCATTTGAGCAAATAACTTTTTGTCTCGAAGATTACACGAGCATTACAAGACTTTCAGTCCGACCTGCGGGAGAAGTCGAAATTGCAGTCGAGGCTGATGGGGAATTATGTGAGCCCAGAGGTTCAACATAGTTCCCTGGCTTCCTCACTGTCTTCTAAAAGCTGTGGAAATGTTTTACACGCAAATAAACATTGAGATGTGTACTATTTCATATTTAAATTAAATTTAAGTGTTATAAGTTCAAGGCATCTGTCTGCCAGAGAATCTAAAGTAATTTGGGAGGCCTTGTTTAAATGTAAACCATTCGAATGTATTTAAGGTTTATGGACCATCTTTAGCTTTCTTTGATCTTTTGAAATAAAATTTGCATCATTTTAAATATAATTTTCTTTATTCGTTAAAGATCCTGTTTCTCTTTTTTTTTGCATATAAATCTTTACTTTTTTGTGTAAACAACTTTGTATTTACTCAATTTAT